AGGCCGATTTTATCCGTACTACATGACCTTTCAGAATAGCTTGACCCTGTACAGAGATTAATTCTGAACAGCTTCAAAATTTTTTTGCAGTTCCAGGATTTGTGGACTTAATAGTGTAGAAAGAAGGTCAACAGTATGTTGGGGAACTCTAATTTTACTCTGAATGCTGTCATTAGCTGGATAATCTTAATCAAATCACTTCATCATTCTGGGCCTCAGTTTTATCATCTATAAAATAAGAAATATTCCTGCAAAAACAAAAAAAACCTATGACTTTTATCCACTGTACCTAGCTTTCTAAATGCTATTTCAACCTAAAATAAAAATGACATCATTTGTAAGACACAGCTTGTCAATAATATCTACTCATAAATTTCTCTCTTCCTTTTAAAATATATACAGGGATAAAGGTACATTAGGATATTCCTTTAGAGCCTGTGAAAACTCATTAAAAAAAAAGTCTTGGTATGCTAATTAATCATGAGCTAAACACAGCAGATCTGAATGATTTGATTCCAAGATGCTAAAAGTGACCAATTCTGGCTAAATTACTCAACCCTGAATTTTAATATCATGTAACAGCTAAACATAACAATTTTACCACATATATCCTTAAAAGTATGTACAAACTCCATTTTCTTTTTTAAATTTTATTTTAAATTTTATTTTTGTTATAGATATTTCTCCTTTTTTACCCCATTGACAACCTCCTCCCCATCCCCTCCCACCCCGTCCCCGGCTTTGTTGTCCATGTCCATTGGTTATGCGTACATGCATATAAGTTCTGTGGTTTATCTCCTCCCTCCCCCCACCACCCCCTCTTCTGAGGGTTGTCAGTCTGTATCCTACTTCCATGTTTCTGGGTCTACCCCATTCCTCAGACTGTTGTGTTCATTATATTCCACAAATAAGTGAGATCATGTAGTATTTGTCTTTTTCTGCTTGGCTTGTTTCACTTAGGATAATACTTTCCAGGTCCCTCCATGTCATCTCAAAGGATAAGAGATCTTTCTTTCTTACAGCTGCATAGTACTCCATTGTGTATATGTACCACAGCTTTTTTATCCATTCGTCTACTGGTGGACACTTGGGCTGTTTCCAGATCTTAGTTATTGTAAATAGTGCTGCTGTGAACATAGGGGTACATATATTCTTTCTGATTGGTGCTTCAGGCTTCTTAGGATATATTCCTAGAAGTGGGATCACTGGGTCAAATGGCAGTTCAATTTTTAATTTTTTGAGGTAACACCATAGTGTTTTCCATAGTGGTTGTACCAGTCTGCATTCCCCCCAGCAGTGTACTAGAGTCCCCTTTTCTCCACACCCTCGCCAACACTTGTTTGATACAAACTCCATTTTCTAAGCCCATCACCTTTCACCCGGGGGAGAATCCAATCTATAAGAAGATGAAGAATATGCTGCTGTTCTGCTGATGATGTGGGTACTATTACATTCTTACACATGACATTACAAACTTTACATTTTCCTTTCATAAATATTTCTCTGCTCTCTTTTCACTGTGGCCCCTATTTCATAACCATGTCCCATGGGGCTTGCCATTTCATAAAATCTCTCCTCACCTCTATGAAGAAACACAATTGACAGTATTATCAGATTGTGATGACTAAGATGTCTTCTAACTGACAAATTAAAATATGTCCTTACTGTTTGATTATGGATCTAAGTTACACTGGAATCAGAGAAAATAAAGTATAATAAAGCTGAAGTACGCTTGGGTTTTACTTGTACCCTGAACTTGATGAGATAGAAGGCTTCTTCTATGGCTAGTTCTCACTGTCAGAAGCCTTCAGTCAACTATCCTGTAGAAGCAGCTACATCAGAAAGGATGTACATGCATATGTGGGGGTCGGGGTGTGGGGGTGAAGAGGGAGGGAAGAGGGGGGAGACTGAACACATGAGAGGACAGTTGAGTTAGAAAAGGCTAGACCATTACAAAATTTTTATTTGCCTCCCAACTCAAAATCCATAGTTAAAGCATGCTACCATGCTGTAATGCCAAACAAAAAAGTCACATAGTTGAATGTGGTGAAGAAAAATAGCTCAGAAATGATCAAACATATCTGTAGCTTGCAATAGAAAAGACCACTGCAGTATCGCTATCAAACACTTTTTATCCATTTTTAAAAAAGGATACTGTTTTTTCCCCTAAAACAATGAAAACAAGTCATGAAAGGATTGGAATTACCACTTGCCTTCAACATTTGACTTCTTAGCTTAGCCAGCTACTAATTTTTATCAAATACATGCACAATGACACAATCAAATAATAATCACTATTTTAGAGTCCTTTTTGGAAACTTCAGGGGACAGCAACATTTTCAAAATGGTGAAGTTTCTTTGCCAAAAAAAAAAAAAAAAAACTAAAAAATTCTCCTAAAGAAATCTCAGTATTCTGTAGATAGATAGGACACCTTAATGCCTGGCAAAACATCTGGTTTTGCTGCTGTGGTAAAGACAGGAGTTCTGCATGTCAACATGACTCACTGCTTTGTTCATCAGAATGCACTGGGGTGCAAGACTCTACCATCAATCCTGAGAGAAACCTTATCTACTGCTGTGAAAGTATTCTACTGCTTCATGAGTGCCAAGCCTTGAATCATAGCCTATGCAAGAGAATTCGTCATGAAAAATCTGTTGCTGTGAAAGTTGCCAAAGTCATAAAAGCCAAATCTTTCAATCAAGGGCTTCTTAAGAGGTTTTGTCAAGAATTGGGAGCAACTATGAAATTCTCTGCTACACATAAGTTCACTGCCATTAACTGGGTAAAATATAAACTTGTTTACAGTTTAACTCTTCATTCTTAAAACTGTGTACTCATAATCCTTTCCTTCCCAATATAGAATTATGTAAGGATCTTGCCAAAAATGATCTTATTAACTAGAAACCAAAGAAAATGATTCAACACGAATTTATCTAAAGAATCTTAGAGAATTCCTATTTCTTGACATAACAATGTACTGTCAAAAGAATCTACAGATTCCATTTGCTCTTTCATTCTTTGGTGAGATAGGATTTTCAGCACTTGTTTTGATCAAAAACTGATTGGATATCAAAGATGACACAAAGTCAAAGATAAATGGAATAGTTTGAATATGCTACTTAAAAGCTATTTTAAATAATGGCAGCCCTTTCATTAAAATTTACTATTGAGCAGAACTAACGCTTAATTTTGGTTCATTTGTACCACTTAGATTTAGTCTTCATTCTCAAAAAGTGGTCACTGATTTATTTATCAATCTTTATCCGAGGATATGTTTTTATTGATTTTAAAGATAGAGGAAGGGAGAGAGCAATATTGATGAGAGAAATATTGATCGGTTGTCTCCTGTAGGCACCCCCACCGAGGATCCAACCCGAAACTGAGGTATGTGTCCTGACCAGGGATCAAACCCTCAGCCTTTTGGTGATCAGGATGCTCCAACCAACTGAGCCACCCGACTAGGGCATGGCCACTGATTTTTGCATGAAAAAAAAAAAAAGGAGACATAATTCTTATGAAGATTTCTTTTACATTCTAAATTTTAAAAAAAAGTTTTCAGTGCAATTAAAAAGTTAATAATGTTATGTTCATGTACAACATGCACATTTTTGGAGAAAATATTTATAATTTTCACCATATTTTTAAAAGATATATAACATAGTTTAAGAGTCCCTAGTGTCCTGGCTCCACATTGCACAACTTCTTTATTTTTCATTTTAAATTCTTTTACCTGGTATCTTTTCCACTATCAAAATGGCTGCTGCCTATCAACCCTGCTTTAAATTTCTACCACTGCTTCTGCAACTTCTATATGGTCTCTTTTCCTGTACTGCCCTGAATTTATTCACATCAGTATAAAACAATTTACCTTCTATAATTACAATCAGCAAAAGCAATTGTTTCCCTCTACATGATGAAAGGATGAAACAAAGTAAACATCTCAGGTCCTCTGCTTTATAATTCATTCCAGTGCTATCAACCCAGGATACACACCATATACAGAAATGTAAGTTTATCTATCATAGCCAACCAAAATCATGAACTAATATAAAATTCCATTTTTTAAACTACCACCAATATACAGTACTTTGGCATCACTAGATATAATTCAAAAAAGTCACAAAGACATATACAACAAGAAAAAGGAAGGAGTAAAGGAATCAGGAATCAAATAACTATCCAGTTGAAAATAATGGGTATGATCACTTGTAGCTGTTTTGAAGTTGAATTAAAAAGAAATTAACTTAAACTGGAAGAGAATCTCCCTGATTGTAAAATTATTAAAACTAGAATAAGTTCTTCACATAAGTTATGACGTCTCCTTCAATAGAGCTCTTTAAAATGAGTTTGCCCATTTATCTTGGAATGGTTTGGGGTTTTTTTCTTCTTGGGGACAGAAAAATGTACAAACTTTCTTTGTAAGAAATGTAAATGTGTTTTGCCATCCAAAGAAATAAATCTCTTGAAAATCACTGTAAAAGTTCTCCCAAGAGTTCACTTTTTGCTTGCAAATGCACTACACAAATTAAATGTCACTGATTTCCAATACAGTCTTTACAGTCTTCTGAATAAAGAACCTGACTAATTATAACTACTTATATTAATATTCATATGGAAAAGTCATCTTTATATATCATAAAACTAAAGATCATACATTCCTAGAAAATGGCATCCAAGTTATTATCAAACATATTTCATTCTCAATCAAGCTTCAGAAATATTAAGCTTACTTTTGATCAATGTGTGGCTTTTTAGAATGCTTGGTAAGTATTTTGAGACTACGCAATACTGTTCATGGGTAAGATTTGCTAGCATGACATGAAAATGCTAGCATGAACAGAAAATTCAATTAGTCATTTGCTCACATAAATGTTAAGGAGTAACTGATTTAAATGTCTAGGAGATCAGATATAAGGTTATCAACTTTCTTTTTAAAAATCTGTTTTCCAATAAATTCTTAAATCTAGGAAGAGAAAAAAAAACATCAAATATAACTTACCTTTTTATCTCTGGTCCTTACTTCCCCATAGAAATCTAGGGCCTCTTGTGCCTTTAAAAATTTACCCCGATGTAACAAATATGCACAAATCATTACACCAGTTCGTCCCTTTCCAGCTTTACAGTGAATTGCTGCAACATGATTGTCATCTTCACTTAGCCATTGGTCAAGATCTTCACAAAAGGGTTTGATAAGTTCTAGTTGTGGTGGATTATGGTCTTCAAAAGGATACTGTGCAACTGTGGTAAAAAGATAACCTCAGAATAAGAGAAAAATCTCTTCTGAATTGTTTATTAATAGTTAACTTTAGAAATGCTACATATAAGCTCCACAGATGTTTAAAAGAAAAAGCGAACTCCAGAGAAAAGTAATGTATTGCCTGGTAATTTTCTAATGTTTGAATAGAAATAGTCTCTCATTAACTCTTAAAGTTATCCATTAGACAGGAAGGCCAAGTATTTTCCCCACTTTACGAAGGAGGAAACTGCTATGGAGAGGTAGCACAGGTCATAACTTATCAGAGGTGGTGAACTCAAAATGAAATGTCATATAAGCATCTTGTCAGGACTCTGAATTAATTTTCTAATAAAAGAGTAATAATACTTATAATATTGCACCACTATAAAACATATTCAAAAGAAAGATTATTAATAAATCAACAATAGAAAGGATTGCATTTTAAACTTCAATAATAAAAATGCTAAATGTGTTATTTCTCACAAATGTTACCGTTGTATACAATTGACTTTAAAGGTATTTACAAAAGAAAAGAAAAACTACTTATAAAAAGTATACAATTATAGTAAAGTTTATCAAGTGAAGTCTCAGGTCTTTTCACATGACTTACTAAGAACTCATAACTTCTCTGTACCCTAGAGTCACAGCAGAGCTTTTAAAATTTGTCTACAAAGAGGACTTTAAATCTATCACTATTAAATTTTATCTGATTGGTCTCTGCCTTGGTTCTACTCTATTAAGATTCTTAAAAATTCTGACATCTAATGTACCTAATTATCTTGTGTCATCTAAATATGTAAAAAAGTATGTCTTATATCTTCAATCAAGTCATAATGTAGCACAGGATAAAATCGATTAAGTCCTTTGTTATGACAGGAGAGCTTTAACAATAACTACCATTACAGCAAGTCATCAGGACAGCTTTCACTTAGTCATCTCCCTAACTACTATCATTCTGTCTTCACTTCCCCAGTGGCACACAAAAACATCTAGGAAAACCTGTTAAATGTCTATTTAAAGCTAGATAAACCTCGACTAAAACACATTATGCCTAGTAAGCAGTAGCCTAAATTTACCAAAAAAAGAAACATTCTTAGTAACCACACTGACTCTCACCATTAGTGCCTCTGAATTCTCAGACCAACTGTTTGAAGGTCCATTCCAGATTTTCAGGAGGCACTGACTGCAAATACATCAATCTGTAGTTCATGGCACTCACTGTTTCCTAACAGCACATGCCAAACTTCTTAATTCTCCAGTTCGCTCATGGCTCAAGGGGTTCCACAAATACAAATGAAGTTTTTGTGGGCTCTGATATAGAACTGATTATACCTGAAGACTAACTCATTTAAAGCAGTTCCTTGTTCTCACCTATCAGGTTCCCCTCATCCATATTTGTTATACCCTTTCCGCCTTTTAGATCATGTTTCTTGATGGAGTTAAATTGTTCTGCCTTCTTCATATAATTTATTACTCTTACACTAAATGTCTCAGAAAAGTAGATATAACCCCCACCTCATTCTATTGTTAGCCTAGAAATTTCTACTAATTCTTAGTCCATTCTGCAATTTAATTTTCCTAATATTTCTGGCAGGTTTATATGGCACTTGTTTCCTAAAACACAAAATCATATTTTTCAAATTTTCTAAGACCACCTTTAAGACAAATATTTACTTCACTTAATAATTGAGATTATTCCTTATTGCTATAACAGTAAGACTTAGTCTATTGGTTTTAAGTTATTTAACATAATACAGTACATTTATACATACCTCTGCAGTTAAATTTGGCGGTATCATAATGTCTTTCAGCACATCTAAAAGAGAAGTTTAAATGTGATATAAAGTTATCTTTTACAATTGAGAAAAAAGTGTAATAGTAACAAACATTTTGTGAAACTTTATAATGTACCAGGCATTATGTTAAGTGTTTTATATTAACTATTTCTTCTCATCCTGGGAAGTAGGTTCTGCTATTATCCCCATTTTACAATTAAGAAAACAGATGCTTAAAATGGTAAGTGTATGCAACTAGAACTCACACATTTGCTTAAAAAACTTGTGATGTCACCAATATACAATATTGCAAATTCAGCTGCATCTAAGCCTTCAAATTTCCTTTATGGAAATTTTGCATGCTACTGGAGTTTAATAACTAACTATTTTAAATATTATCTTTACTTCACAGCTGAACACACACAGTTTTCTCAAACTATTATTTTAAAAGACATGTTAAAAACAGTAACATTATAAGTGTAAAGGAAAAGTAAGGAAAGAAATTAAATGGTGCTAACCTACTCAGACACAACACTTGCTAAACTTTTTTTAAACCATATCTTTCTCTTATCTTTTTCAATACCCTCTCAAGTTACAAACTTTAAAGTCTTAGACTAAAGAAATAGTAGTAAGTAAAATCAATACAGAATAGTAAAATGTTGACTTAGCATTATCATATGGCATGCTAAAATTTGTCTTTTTAATAGTAGTGACACGTTCGTTATCATGCACTGGGGCTTACACATGATGAACAGGCCATATTTATAAACATCAACAGGCTCAGAAAGGAATTCTATATATTAATTTGTGGTCAGTAGCATCCTGGTAACTCCCATTACTAATCAAGCCAGATTTTTAAAAAAATATTTAAAATAAAAACTTAGCTTTTTAAAACAAATAAAGGTCCACAGACCCTTAATCCACAATTCCAAAATCTCTGAAGTTGAAAACATTTTTTTTCTTAAATTTATAGCAAACTTAATTGCAGCATAGCCTGATCTGAATTTATGAGATTATATGTAGTCCTTAATTAATACACTTACAGTGAAGAGTCAAACATTTCATTCTAGGTACTGTTCCACCGGGGGTGTTGTAATAAAGTATATGCTTCCATGTTACCTTTCTGAAAACTGAAAAAATTCTGAATGCCAAAACACAACTGGCCTCAAGACTTTCAAATAAGTGATTGTGGACCTATATTTTACATTTAGAAATCCTGCAAGTATGGTGTAGTTCCTCTACTTTAAACAGTTTTAAACCCATTAAACATTATAAACAAACTACAATTCACTAGTTGCTAACTGGTCAGATCTGAAATAAATAGACTTTCATATTACTGCTCAAAACAAAGCTTTTCCATTTTAGCATATTATAATGTAGTATATTGAGTTTTCCTAGAAAGAAAATTTATTCAGTAATGACATATGCACATATATGCATCCTTGCTAAATAATTTCACACACACACACACACACACACACACATTAAAAAACACGACAGGTGGAAAAAAAGACTGACCATGAAATAAGTCACATTTTACACTTTCTTCAGTAGATTAAAAAAGCAACATGGTCAATAGTGAAGAATCCATAATGAAATGTTTTATAAAGAGTTATGTCAAGATAGGGCTTAGAAGGTAAGGGGGAAGGTATAGGCTAGAAAACAATTCTAAGAAGCTGGTCTCATGATAGCACAACAAAAAAAGCAACATTTTGAGTTTCATGCAGACTCAGTTCTCTAAAATTCCCATGCTTTCTCAGGAGCTCAAAATGTTTGTTTTGACAAACAGTACATAAGACTACCTTCATAAACTGATTCTCAAATATCACTGTTAAGAGGAAGAAATGGAGAGAAAGTGGAAATAATAAGCTACTACTGAATGTATACACCTTACTAAGGAGTTTCCATGTTTTTTGACTCATCCTCACAACAATGTGATAACAGTTAATATTATCTCCTTTTTATACATGAAAAAACTAATATTTAGAAGCACACTAAGGAAAAACTTGCCCCAAACCATAATATGTATATGGAAGAGCCAGGACTCAAGTTCAGTACCTCTGATTACAAAGGTCAAACTTTTCCTAGTACTGTACTGCTCCATACTTTCACTTATAATAAACAACTAAAAATAGTTGTAAAAACAAAAGCAGTAACAAAATTTAGTCAAAGCCAGTCTTCCTAAAAAAGCAATATTTGGCACAATACAACCAACAAATAGTGATAATAAAAACATGAAAAAGCTATGAAAATCTCTACAGGTATGGATTGGGAGTATGTGAAAACAAATACTGGGATTGGTAGTGATGAAAGTGACCTGGGGAGGGGTTGGTAGGGTAAGAATAAAGACTTTCTTCTTAATTAAAAATTTCTCTGATACTGTATGCACACCCACAAAAAAACACAGTTTCTTGTAAATTTTTTGCAGTGTGATATTAAGTCTCTTAAATCAAAATTGGATACACGAAAAAATAAAGCAAATGTGAATTAATGTTAGAATTAATCACTTATACTTCTTCATAATTAAAACTCAACTTAAAAGATGTTTTCTTATCACCACCTCAAATTGGCTTATATGAGACAAGAGAAATGAAGAGGCATAGAAGGAGACAGTTTTATGAAGTAGTAGACAAAGTGAAGAAAGGGATAAGATTAATAAAAAAAAAGCTTCCATTGAAGTGAGACTTGACATGGAATCAGCTAGGCATGTAGGTCTCTTCTTTACTGTCTTCAGTGAAGCTATCCCTATCTTACAAAAGAAAATGTAATTGATAAAAATTAGCAGCTAAATGTTTACCACAAAATAATGCAGTTTTACCAAAAATAATGGAGAGTTGTATGTCAAATAGAGTATACAATAAAATATAGTATTCAGTGAACATTTACATTCCTCAGTGAATCTTATCCCTTTCTTCACTTTGTCTACTACTTCATATTTTTATTCCCTATCTCCCCCACTCTTCCCCTTACTCCTACCAGAGTACAGATAATACAGAGGAACATACAAAAATAGCATACACACTTGCACAAAAAACTAATTTACTAAGTATCAGTATATCCAAATTTGTTAATGACAGGTTAATTTTGTCCCTTCTTAAAATAACTCATTGAATGTTTAATATAAGTATGAACAGATACAGTCTGTTTAAAGAACTCTTAATTCTACACTATGAACTCTTTTTCATCCAAATGTCACAAGTGCCACATAAAGTTTAATATACTATTAAATACAGGTATGCCTACTAAAAATATTTTATTATCTTTCAATTTGTATGTTTATCAAGATATATATCACGTTATTAATATCCTAAAACTAAAAGAAATAAAATAGAAACATCCGCTGCTTGCCAGACTCACTTACCCAGAGCCAGAAATATAAACAGGGGTAGAAAGCAGGTGAAGAAGACTGAAAAATGACATCAGAAATCAAAACATGCTACAATTGGGTAGTTCTACAAACTTCTGAAGTAAGTAAAATTTGGGGAAGTTGAAAAAAAAAAATGAATAAACAAAATAACCCAAAAAGGGAATACTGGCATAAACAGTGGATGGTCTGCTACTATATGTACCTCTGTGACCTTGTTCAACTCACTTAACTTCTCTATGCCTCAGATTCCCCATCTGTAAAATGAGAAGGTTGGACTAAATGATCTCTTTCAGGTCCTTTCCAGTTCTAAAAGTTGCTGATTCAATTAAAAGAAGTGGAGCAAGGGAGTTAAAATATATGCACCAAAAGCTACTGTCAACTAATAACAAGAGAGTTCATTAACTTGGGAGTCCAATGTTTGGAAATACAGAAACAAACAGGCAGTCAAGTTCCCAATGCCAAACTGAACCATAATAATGTACGTGAACCACAATACTGACATTACAAGCCTAAGTCCTAAGTTGTGGAAGCAGGAAGCCACTGCATACAGGAATGAAAAGAATTTCCTTTCCTATCTCTGAATATAATGTAAAACTCGAATACATTTTTGAAAAAGGCATAATTTATCTTTAGTCTCCTTCTACCTTCCTTCTGGGACACTCTAAATGCCCAATCCTGAGAATCCAAGGCTGAAGTGACTCATTTAATGGATTCCTCCCATAGACTGCTCTTGGCCTGTTTTTTACTTCTTTTTCACCTTAACTTCTAAAAATCCAGTTGTGCCCTGGCCGGTTTGGCTCAGCAGTTGAAGCGTTGGCCTGCGGTCCAGAGAGACCCGGGTTCGGTTCCTGCTAAGGGCACGTACCTCGGTTGCAGTTTGTCCCCGGCCCTGGTTGGTTGTGCGGGTGGCAGCCACTCGATGTGTCCCTTCACATCGATGTTTCTCTCTCTCTCTCTTCCTCTCTCTCTCCCCCGCTCTATCTGAACAAAAAATGGAAAAATGTCCTCGGGTGAGGATAAAAAAAAATAAATAAAATAAATAAATAAAATTTAAAAATAAATAAATAAATAAAAATCCAGTTGTTAAAAAAGTACAAAGCTCTGTGGATTTTATTTTCCTCCACAGAAACCCTGTAGCATCTGAAACAAGGATTGTTGTAGGAGAGGTTTATAAGGAAAAGAGGATGATACATGTATAGATCACTTGTAAGCTGGGGCCCACCTAAACTTGTTTATACAGCATGTTTTACTTTCTTTCATCTTGTCATCTACTTCTACCACAGCCTGCGCGCGCGCACACACGATAATTACCTTCCACATTATGCCAACAAGTGTTTCTTACCTGCCAGAGTTTTCTCTGCCTGCAATGCCATCATCTCCCCTCCTACTAGGCCCGTGGGTCAACCTCTACTGAATCTTTTCATCCCAGCTTAAACTTGATTTTTTGCAAAATCTTCCCTTTTAAGTACAATTACTATTTCCACTGTTCTCTGGAGAGTTCTCTTCTATACAAGAGTTATCTCTTCTATAATACTTTGTTTACATTTCATATTACAGTATAAATTACATGAGGACTAGAACTACGTCTTATTCACCTCTGGACAGACAACACATTTTATAATGTCTAATGTGGAAAAGTACACAAAATGCTTCTTTGTGAGTCTAAAGAAATTAGTGAAAACTCACTAGGAAAAACAATATTGGTGTGTACTTCACTCTCAGGTTTTATCAGAACAGAAAGATCACTAAATTAAGGATTTAAAAAGCAACAAGCCATAGACACAGAGAATCTTATACTTTTTTGGTAAAGCTTTAAATGCCCACTGAAGGTAGAAAAGAATCTTGTTCTTATATTTGAAAAATAAACTCTATAGAAACTGTAACAGTAAATTAGTATAAATAAATTTAGATTTAAAAATTTCCTGTTGCACAATTTATATATAAATTTATAAGTAAAAGCCAGTGAGAAAAAAAATAACACATTTTATATACCACTGTTTTAAAAATAGAAAGTGGTTATAAATTTTGGGAAAGAAAAATAGTCTTCAAGGGCAGAAATGGTTAAATATTTTCTTCCCATTTTTCTTTTGTTCCTTTTTTCCTTTTCACATCTCTAGTCATCAAGTCAAAAGAAAAAAACAAAACAAAAGGTTAAAGATAAGGTCAGCTAGGTGTATCAACTGGGCAACCCTTACATCCCTGCCCCAAACAAAGGAAACAGACCCAATTCAACAATTTTAGGTAACTAATTTATGTTATACACAGTTAGAGAACAACCCCAAGAGCTGTTTCAATCAGTTGACCTAGAGACACAGAATAAACAAAATTATATTCACTGTGGAACATACCTCCATGGAAGATGTCATTAATGCTTTAACATGTGTTTTACACTTCAAGTTACTACATGGTTATGGGCTCAAAGATGGGCTAGATGCCAAGTCACTTAAAGCACATCAAGTAACATAAATCTGTGCCAACATTGTTTTACCTCATCACTACACTTTCTAAATGACCTAACAATGCTCTCAATCAGAATTCTTAAACTAAATGTTTTAGGAATATATTATGTTCAAATATATCTTTAACTCTACCTCAATCTAACAAGAAAATAACTTTCATTTAATAGTTATTTTAGAAGTATTTGGAAGTATACAAATAAGAAAACATACTTACAGATTGTATATCTTGTAATGGTTTTTATGCTTTGAATCCAAAAACCTTAAAACAAAACAAACAAACAAAAAGCCACCATTAACAAAAATAAGCTAACATTTGAAATTACATTAATACTGTTGAAAAAAACAAAAGACAGATTCTATTTTTCCTAATCTCAAATACCATTTAAGAAAAATAAACTCAAATATTCCTTTCATGGGTTAAAACTAGTAAATCGGCCATTCTTAAATAATTATTACATTACACAGATTTATACAATCTGAAGCCATAGCTTTTCATAGAATGAGTATTTTCATAATCTTTTCTCTTAAGCCTAACATAGTGAGGTTGAGTATTAAGAAATAACTTCTTTAAAGGGTAGTATTAGCATGTAGCTAAAGTTACCTAGCTCATGTACATTTGAGAATAATAGTCACATGCAATCAAATAATCTTAAAAATAACACTGAGAACTATCATTTTCTTCCAAACTGAAAACTTTCGATATTTGAAAGATATGTGTTAACTATTAACTCTTTATAGTTTATTAAGTATTTTCACATATATATATATATTCTCATTTGATGCTCACAAACATCTGAGGTAGAGCTTCACATTTTACAGATGAGAGAAGTAGGTATCAAAGAAATTACAGGACTTGCCCAAGGTCATACAGTTAATAAGTTGAAGAATCAAGACCAAAGACCTCTCCCTCAAAATAAATTAGTTGAGAAACTATCAACAACAACTACAGCCAACACAAGAACTTACTATATGCCAGCCACTATGTTAATTAAGTATTTTCTGTATTTAAATTTGTTTAATCTTATGAGGAATCAGAAAGTGTAAGCCTGGGGAAATATCAGAATAAACAGAATAAAAAGACAAATGGAATAGAAAAGATAATATTTCAAAAGGTTTAAAGTCCAGGAGGTTCAATATATAAATAGGAGTTCCAGAAAAAAAAAAATATAGAAAACACAGATATTTTAAAAACACAGAATTTAAAAAAAAAAAAAGCCAAAACTGAAGGACACAAGTTTCCAAACTGAAGGACACAAAGGGTACCCAGCACAAAATGATGAAAATAGACCCAAATAAAGGCATACATATCTTAGTGAAGTTTCTGAATATTAAAGAGATAAACATAAGTCCTTAGAAGCTGCCCAAGAGGAAATAGATTTCATAAAAAGAACCTGGAATCATGACATCGCCCGTTATAATGGCAACACTAGCAGCCAGAAAAATAATTAGGCAAACCTTTCCAATTGAGGGAAAATTATTCCATACCAAGAGAGACTATAAATCAAGTGTGAATATATAAAAAAGGCATTTTTAAATAAACAAAGTCTCAAATAATTTTGCTTCCCATATATTCTCTCCTTAGGGAGTTACTAGAAGATATGTTCCACCAAAACAAGGATGGTGAACCATGAAAGAAGATGACAAGTCCCAGAAACTGAAGAGTCAAAGTCATGAGAAGAGAAAATGAAGGTGAAAGATCTCAAGCAGACAGCATTACATCAATCCTAGAGAACAACTAATTCAGATTAGGGCAGACCAGAAGACTCCTCAAGAAAACAAATCGATATGATACCAAATGTGCTCAAACATGTTAAGAGATTTATACAATTGGGGACAAATTTAGGATGAATTAAAATTAAGGACACAGAATAAAAGTTAAAAAGAAGAAGGAAGAAAGGGACGTAAATGAATTGTAATCCAGGGCAAACAAAATATGCAGGAAAAATCAGTCATAATATACATCACTTAACTGTGACTAGTATTATGTAGTTATAACCACTTTAAAAAAAACAATATTGATGTAACACAAAATTACAATATAACTACTGGAAGAAGGGAGAAAGGGAAGTCTGAAAATATTGCTGGATAAGGGGGAAAAAAGTCATAAACTTGGATGTGAACAAATTATGCTATATAGTAATAATAAAAGTAGCACTTGTAACTTTGTCTCTAAATGAAATGATTAATTTTCATGTCATGCTACAGTTGTTGCAGATATCAAAATATTATTTATAATCAACACTTCAAAATTAAGTCATTAGACCTGCCAATATATTTTTAATTTAATGTGTTAATAACTGTATCTTTATATCAGATATTTGGTTTTTAAATATTTTCATAACTAATATAATCAAAACTAATATAAGTATATCTGTAATCCTATAAATTTTATTTTATGGATTTAAAGTCACTCTAAAAAGGGGTCCATAAGCCTCACCAGACTGCCAAAAAGATACATGGTATTAAATAAATAAATAAATAAATAAATAAATAAATAAATAAAATAAATTGCCCTGGCCGTTTTGGCTCAGCGGTTAGAGCAACAGACTGCAGACCAGAGTCCCGGGTTCGGTTCCCAGTAAGGGCATATAACTTGGTTGCAGTTTGTCCCCAGCCCCAGTTGGAGTTGTGTGGGTGGCAACGACTTGATGTGTCTCTCTCACACATTGATGTTTCTCTCCCTTCTTCCCTCCCTCTCTCCCTACCTCCCTACCGCTCTATCTGAAGATAAATGCAAAAATATCCTTGGGAGAGGATAAAAAAAAACATTAAGAGCTCTTGTCAAAGGATAGACAGAAACAAACAAAAAAAGTAATGACTCTTTGGTGTAGTGGTATTTTTTGATTCTTTGTTTTATTTTTAAATATTTTTATTTTCAATTACAGTTGGCACACATTAATTTCAGGTGTACAAAATAGTGATTAGGCATTTATAACTTACGAAGTGATCACCCCAATAAATCTAGTATGCACTGACACCATACATAGTTACTACAATATTCTGACTATGTTCCCTATGCCGTACTTTACATCCCTCCCTATTTTTATAACTGGCAATTTACACATCTTTAAAAATTTTTTTTTTCTTTATTGACTTTCAAGAGAGGAAGGGAGAGGGAGAGAAACATCAATGAGAGAGAACATCAACTGGCTGCCTCCTGCATGCCCCCCCACTGGGGATCTAGCCCACAACCTGGGCATGTGTTCTGACCAGGAATCGAACAAGCAACCTCTTAGTGCAGGGGTCAATGCTCAACCATGAGCCACACTGGCCGGGCCAATTTGCACCTCTTAATCACTTCCCACTTTTCACCCATCTCCCTGAGTCCTCCTCCCATCTGGCAACCATCAAAATGTCCTCAGTGTCTCTGAGTTTCTTTTATTCATTCATCTGTTTTTTAGATTCCACATACAAGTGAAATATGGTATTTCTCTTTGCCTGACTTCACTTAGTATAATACCCTATAGGTCCCTCCATGTTCTCACAAATGACAAGATTTCATTTTTTTAATGGCTAACTAATATTCCATTGTATATATGTACAACTTCTCCTTTATCCATTCATCTATCAATGAACACTTAGGTTGCTTCCAAATCTTGGCTATTGTAAATAATGGTGCAGTGAGCATAAAAATGAATGTCTTTTTAAATTTGTATTTTGGGTTTCTTCAGACGGATACCCAGAGTGGAATTATAGGATCCTTCTTTTTCTCTTGTTGTACAGCCTTTGTTCTAAAGTCTATTTTGTCTGATGTAAGTACTGCTACCCCAGCTTTTTACTGTTCTTGTTCCAATTTGCATGAAATATCTTTTTCCATCCTTTACTTTTGGTCTGCGCGTCTTCTAATCTGAAGTGAGTTTCTTGTAGGCAGCATATGTATAAGTCTTGTTTTCTTACCTATTCGACCATTCTAAATCTTTTAATTGAAGCATTTAATTTGTTTACATTTAAAGTAATTACTGGTAAGTATTTATTATTTTTATTTTTAAATATATTTTTTATTGATTTATTTTTTAAGAGAGAAAGGGGGAGAGAGAGAGAAACATCAATCGGCTGCCTCCGGCCCACCGCCCTACTGGGGATTTGAGCCTGCAACCCAGGCATGTGCCCTGATTGGGAATCGAACTGGAACCTCTCAGTTCATGGGACAATGCTCAATCCACTGAACTGCACCAGCCAGGCTAATTTTTTTTTCTTCTTTTTCTTCTTAAGAAAGTCCCTGTAACATGTTTTATAATACTAGTTTGGTGGTGATGAACTCCTTTAGTTTTTTCTTGTCTGGAAAGCTCTTTATTTCGTCTTCAACTTCAAATGATATCTTTACTGGGTAAAGTAGTCTTGTTTGTAGGTCCTTGATTCTCATGACTGAATATTTCATGCCAATCCCTTCTAGTCTGAAATGTTTCTGTTGAAAAGTCAACTGACAATCTTATGGGAGCTCTTTTGTAGTTAACTGTCTTTCTCTTACTGCTTTTAAGATTCTGTCTTTAACGTTTGCCATTGGAATTATGATATGTCTTGGTGTGGGCTTCTTTGGGTTCATCTTGTTTGGGACTCTCTGCACTTTATGCACTTGTATGTCTACTTTCTTCACCAGGTTAGGAAAGTTTCGCAACATTATTTCTTTAAATAGGTTCTCAATTCCTTGCTCTTTCTTTTCCTTCTGATTCCCCTACGGTGCAAATATTGGTATGTTTCATGTTATCCTAGAGATCCTGTGAATTAACCTCAAAATTTTTAAAATTTGTTTTCTTTATGCTGTTCTGATTAGGTGTTTTCTGCTACCTTGTCTTCTAAATTGCTAATTCAGTCTTCTGCTTCATGGAATCTATTGTTGATTCCCTCTAATGGAGTCTTCATTTCAGTTCTTGTATTCTTCATTTCTGAATGGTTCTTTACGTTTCCTATCTTCATTTTTATGTTCCCTATCTCTTTGTTAAAGTTCTCACTGAATTCACCTACTCTTCCCCTAAGTTAATTGAGCACCCTTATAACCAGTGTTTTGAACTCTGCATCTTATAGATTACTTGTCTCCATTTTGTTTAGTCCCTTCTCTGAAGTTTTGTTTTATTTTTTCATTTGGGACATTTCTTTGTCTCTTCATTTTGGCTGCCTCCCTGTGTTTACTTGCATGTATTAGGTTGAGCTACTATGACTCCCAATCTTGGTAGAATGGCCTTAGGTAGTAGGAGTCCTGTACAAGCGTACTGACAGTCTCCTCAGTCACCTGAGCTGAGCGCTTCAGGTGTGTCCCTTTTG